GGAAGCGAAATGTCTGCACGAATTTCTACTGCCACTCTCGCACGAAATATATGGCTGGATGTCACACGATACAAAATGATATACTGCACGTTCGATCAATTTCGCAATGTATAACGATATATGACACTCCGCGACGGAGAGATAGATGGCCAATCTTAAGCTCGCGTTCGTACGCCCACCCCCAACACGTTAGTGTCAACCGTGGTCAGCTAAATTTTGCCTTCTTCATTTATCCATCTCTTATACCTAACAAGGAGAGATTTCAGATATGTGTCGCATGGATTTTGAAAAGTATGATATTAAGATACAAAGTCCGACGTCGTAAAAATAATATGTAATATTCGGGTGTCGATGGGCCAAAAAGGTTGGTCTAGCTCCATAGTTTGTAACAAGCGAACCACCAGAGATCGTCCTTTCGAATTTGGCCCATTGACATCTAAATACTACACATTAGTTTTATAACGTCGAATTCTATACTTTAACATCGAATTTTCTAAAAGTTTGCATGATACATACCCAGATCTTTCAGATGGAAATCCATACTGAGTATTATATTTATATACATATACATATTTCTTTTTCTACATTGTACAATTAAGATTACTCAACAGGGATTATCAATGCGAAATATTGCCGTTGTTAGAAGATTCGATTGTCCCATTAATCGTTACTCTTCGGAGCTAATCATTTCTACACGGTGTCGTATAACCGAATCTTTTCGATGTTATGGGAAAGTGCGCTTTAATTTATATTACAGGCAGGTCCGTCTACTTTCGAGGACGATAAAACGATACGCCGTACCTCTTTAGCTTCCTTCTCGGCGATCGACGAGTGCCCTGGTTCATAGTCCTCGATGCGGCCGGGTTGATTTTTATAAATCTCCGTCGAGTATTTCAGCGCCCCATTTCTAGAACAGAAATGCGAAATGTGTCCCGTTATCGATAAATCTCTTAAGGATCTTTATATTTTGCATGCCAGTTGTTTGAGAAACGATCCGTTCCATCTGTCAACAAAATTTCATCGAGAGATAAAAATCGAGGATTTGCATGAAGGAAATTTCAACGGTCCGAAGCATCCTCGCAAACTGCTGGGAGAAACAAGGGAAAGTTTCCAAATTCTCGCTTACTTTCTGGGCATAGTCGCCGTGGTGAAGTCATTTTCTTTGTTGCGCAGCCGTCGACGGCTATCGAGAGTAACGGATCGATCCGAGTATGCACGCGGTTCCGGTTCACTCAAATATCCGCTGCCGCTTCCGTATCCATATCTCCCTCCTGAAACAGGAATGTTACGTTTTTTCGCATTTTGTTTGCAGCCGTGTTCCTATTCGCTGATAGTCCCAGCAAAAAAAAATCTACCGGTAACCAAATAACGTTCAATTAAGAGCGCAAACAATTCGGTGTTTACGTATAGTTTAGTTTCTACGACGTTATAATAGAAATATCAAGTTACGAAAACACACATACCGCACACACGCAATACACACATACCGTGTTACGTAACATTAGTATACACATTATTCAGAGAATTGATCATCGAGAGATCTTCGGCATTTCGAAATTAAAACCTAATCTCAGTTCAATTTAAATTTTTACCGATTTTAATCTGTAAGCAGAGTTTTTTAAATTCAATTTTTTTCCGCAAGAAGATCGAATTGGCGCGATGAAACAATCTAAAGAGGAAAGTCGTAAAAGATCAGACGTGAGAACTTCAAATCAACTCACGAAGTTCTCTCGCGACAGCGAAGAAGAACTTACGCCAGAACTTACTCGAGAAGTTGTCCCGACTTGGTTTGATATATTCGATGGGAGATCCCATATCGTCGGGATCTTCAAATTCTAAGACGTTCAATACGGTCTGTGTAAACCAAGTAATCTCCCATACGTTAAAGCACACATTAATGGTACACGATTAATCGAATTAACCACGATGTTAATCTGGAGAACGAGAGTCTCCCGCCGGGGAGAGGCAGGTGTTAATTATCAGCCGGATGTTAGTTAAGGTAGGCGTAAGGTAGTCATTTATGTATCTGTTGCAAATTGTTTATTACTGTTTTTCACGCTCGACTAGCGTAGCTGTTAAACGGCGAGTATATGTACAGCGACAATTGTTATCTTGCGTTACGCAGAAGGCCATACATCAGTTGCCGATATACGGAAAATAGCACCCTGACGCGATACATTTTTGCTGCACGACCGGAGATTATCTCTCCACCGCGCTTTATTTTACAGATATTAGTTACGCTGTTGTTACACAAATCACGGCTAGAGTGACTGCGTTACGCAGCGCACCCACGCACAGCGTAATATTAGTAGCAAATGTCGCAATTCGACCACCGCGGCGGTCATGCGCGGTAGTTGTATATTCACCTCTTCTTGATTTGTATTTTATGGTTACGTAGTCATCTGGAAAGAAAATTATGGAATTATATGCGAACCGTTCACCGACTAATATTGTTATTCCAAACGCGCGCATTTATCGGAACGATATTATATTCCTTATTTAGCCCGTGAATAATAACGATATTAATTTAGTATTGTATGTCCAACATAACAAAAGTACGCGAATCGTTATTTGTATCTTTCGAGTAAAATTTTATTTATTTAATAATCACATCGTATAATTACAAAAACTTACCGTTTCTATCAGCGCGGTGCAACGAGTCGTACATTTTCTTGTACCATTTCGCTTGATTGCTTTCCTTGACTTCCTAGAAGTAATTTATCGAGATAGTATTAAGAAAGTGCACCGCACGACGTAAAATAATTACTCGTTTGTAACGCGATTAAAAATGGCGATAGCAATCATTTCTTTCTTACGTAACTGCTTGCCAAGCGTTCATCGCACTGATTGGAAAATTTATACTTTTAGTTTACTTAATAATTAGCGACCTACCGATCTTAACACGAGAGGGATACCTTCCCTAGTTATCGGTCCGATTCCCTCGAATTTTCGAGGGCCCAGATCGGCCATCTTCTTCGCCGGTTCATTCTCCGTTTCCGGCTCGCTCTCGTATTCTTTCTTCAACGTGTAAACTGGACGATTCAATTTCACAATAAATCATTAGCACTCGCGTACGCAATCAGAAAATAGGCCGACACATACAGTACGTAATTAGACACAGCTAGTTAGCGACGAACGTTAGTGATAATAAGAAACATAAATGGATTTTCGAAAATCGTTTATATTGGGCGGCTTTCATATAAAAATTAACCAACCACAATATAATAATCATAATGCTATAACGCTCGACTTGCTCAACTTATAACTGATCGATACTTACTTATCTCTCCCGGAGAGATTAGCGGCCTTTCGTCGTTCACTGGCCGATTATCGCTTTCCTCTAAGTAAGCTGCGCCTTTCGGCAATTGTCCCTCTACAATAAAATCGCAACGGTAGGTAGTTTAGTGTAACGAAGAAGAAAAAAATGTAATTCCGCAAATCTTTGATATCCTCATTCATTCTGCCTCCGATAAGCAGAAGGATTCTTATAATGGGTGCTGACCTCGCGCTTTCTGCAGCAACGTGATGGTCGGATTCTGGGCACGTGGCAATCGCGGCGTAGACGCAAGGGTGTTCAACCCCTGGGAGGGTGCCGAATGCGAATTTACGATTCGCGAGATGCCGCTCTCCTTCTTCTCCTCGCCTTCCCAGGGCGGAGACGCCTCCTTGAACAGAATCTCGTGTAAGAGCGCGCATCCTTGAACTTGTTATCATCGATGCGAGAAGTTGGTTCGAATAAAGCGATCGTACATATTACAGCTTTCCGCTCTTTCCTTTGTCAAGAGAATTTTTATTACTGTATTTACTAAAGAGTTGTCCGAATTGGATTGTATTCCGAGTTTGTTCCAAACTTAACCCTTTGAAGATGCAAAGAAACTTACAAGGAACCTTGTTTTCTCAGGGAAGATGCTGAATTCGATTCTGGCCTCAAAATTCTAAAATTCAAGACTATCACGAAACTCGATTTTAAGAGATTCTTGGTATCGCTGAGTTTAAACTTAGCCTGAAAATCTCGAATTTCGAAAGAGTAACTTCCAATGAAAGAGGATCTGGTATATCATAGGATTCATAATTAGAATTTGGAAGTTAGTTTGAAAATCAGCACTAACTGTTTGCACAGCACTGAGGAGCTTGAAATAAAGCGAATCTCAAAACTTGACGTTACTTCGTAACTAAATTACTTCGTAATTAAAAATTCTCTAAAATCATGTTTTACGTGATAATCGGATTGCTTTGGAAATTTTGTATATTCATCATATCGAATCTTTCATATTTTTAATGTTTTTTTTTTCTTACTTAAAAATCAAATAAAGCATTATCAAATTATTATTATTATGAGGATATTTACAATAATCAGATTATTGTTACATTATACCCACTATATTAAATCTACCATTTTAAATTTATTTTCGATCGTAAAATCAAATAAAGCATTATCAAATTATCCTGCATAGAGTTTTTCACTCAAATGAGCGGTTTACAAAATGAAAGGTGTGTTCGAACGGGCACGCCCACGAAGGATTAATGATTTAATCAATCACGAATTTAATTTTTACGCCAGATAAATAGCCAACGTCTCGATATAATTGACTGACATACTTCTTCCTTCGGCTGCCTCTTCCGGCTTAGTACAGGACTTTCGAATGGCACAGGACGAAATTCCTTCCTCTCAGCGACAGGGCTCGCGCCGGCGCTGGCGGGGGTCCAAACTGGTGGGATCGGCTCGTTCTTCTTCTGTGGCTCTTTCCTTCGTTCGGGACTCGGTACCTTCTCAGCTGGCGTTTGTCCTGGCGACCAAACGCCTGGCAACGAAAATTCACTTTTAAGAATGCAATTGATACGGCATATCCACGAGACCTTTGTTAATCAACGGCACTCATTGTCAGACAAATTTGGTTATCGTCAGGCGAACTAACAACATTAAAAAAGAAGGTCAAGCCGATCGATTACTTCCTATAAATAAACCCAGCTTTTATCATTCTTAAATTTATGCGTTATAATTCAATACATTAGTTCCTGATGGAAGAGCCGATTAAAGAAAGAAACCGCCAGTAAAGGAAGAAACTCGCCAAAAGGTCTTTGCTCCTGCAACAGCTACGCTGTATGGATTTGGTGGATTCGCGCTAAAGCCAACATATGAAATGTATACGGGCGCGATGCTAATCTTGGCACACAGGGGAGCATTACATAAGGGATCATCTTTTTCCCTACTACTTCCTCATTTTGCCACGTCACTGCCTATTACTAATTCAATCCGTTTCAAAACGGTTCTTTGACGTAAACGAGCAATCCGATAATCCTCCCGTTTATATCAATCGCGTAAACAATCTGGAAAGAAATAAAATACCGCGGGAAGGGTATTTTTACAGAGTTGCACGCCGTTTCTAACTTCGGAGTAATATTTTTTTAACGGCCATGAACAAAGGTTTTACTAACCCTTTACCGCGGGATCCAAATAAGAACAAATGCCACGTCGCAACGTCGCGTCGGTGACATAAACGCACAGTTATTGACGGGTGACGACGCTTGAATGTCAGATGGGGAAGACAACGTTACGAGCACGATAAAGATACATCGTCGCTACGGTGAGGCACATATGCCTCGTCGGAATTGAACCTCTCGGCCAATTTGCAGAGTCATATCTCTCGCGGTCGCGCGGCAACAGGAAATCAGGGGTAGTTCATTTGGGACGCCGGTAAAATTAGAAGCACGCGTGGGCGGCGTTAGGTATTATGAGATACGCATAATTGCAATTGGCCGAGAACAACCTGAACACAATGCCGCGACGACGCGTTTTCTGGAGCGACACGTTTTCTGCGCACGACACGTTAGCGAATCGTGTTACGCGTTCGATGAATATGAGTTCGATATGTATGAATTCGGGGTTGATCGAAAGATTCGGAATCGGATACGGAGGTAAGGAGATTGGGAGAGACATAAATATCTGGGCTTTGATTATCCGATCGAGTCGTTACAAATTTTGTCTCGGACAACCTTCAACATGCATGACTGCTGAGGTAACTGCAGTGACTGTACGTCCTTTATTGTAAAGGACAGTCCTCTAGGTTCTTTATATTTATTTTTTCTTTTTAAACTCAATTTTGTCTAATATTACGGAAAATTTCTTTCTAATTAACGTTCCAAATATAATGTACTTGGAATGGGCGAATTTTTATGGAAATTACCGACAATTTTAACTTTGTGCAAGAGCAATATTAGCCCAAACAGAACAACAAAGTCACAATAACATCAAAATAAGTCTTGATTGACTGAAAAGTGACTTTTAACAATATAATTTTCAGGATATTATTTGGATATCATTTTGATATTATGATAACTTGTGCTTAACCTGGGAGTTATCTCAGATATACTGCGCGAAAATTTCAGAAATTCAAACAGACTTCTGACAGACACAAACTACCTTGGAAATATTTCGGAATAAAATCCTTAAATTCTTCAAAGCCTTCAGCCTTTGTTCTTTATTTTCTCTAAAACACGATACGCTCACTGAGAAACTAAGATTTACTAAGATTTACATATAAAAATATATTATTAGGCACCAAGATTCGCTTTAAACGAATATACGGCCTTCTTCGCTTATTTGTGGGTAAACATTTCTCGGCTGATTTTCACTTGCTATACTATAATTGATGTTACACACGTTACAATCTATGTACGACAATAACGGCTATACATTTTCACTAATTGCAACGTACGTGCGATTAATCAGCGCTGTCGCGACGCCAGCTGCATCCAGCGTTCGAAACGTCAAAAACATAGAATTGCCATCGTTTTTGGATCGTGTACCGACATGCACACGCTATTCGCAACTAACAACCGTGGCAATGGTGATTAGTCGAAACACCGATACTGTAAGGACGACGTTCTCAGGTAACCGAAATTAATGCCCCTTCCTTCCTGGATAAATTACTAAACGAGACTACGCGTATTACTCGGGCGGAAATACGTGTACGGAGATACGCACACGCGTACGTGTGGCAGGAACTTAATTACAACCTCGTTGCTAAGAACACACACGTGGCCCCACACAATACGATCTACACCCTACGCGTAATTAATTTTATTACATCTTCGAAAGGAACGTTGGTTAACGTAATAGAAGCACATTCTCCCGATGGCGATTCCATTTCTCTTATCGCTTGTCGTTCATCATCCAATTACACTGGCTCCGGTATATTCGAAAAGTTAATTAATTAATTACCGAAAGTTCCGTTAAAAATGTTAGTAGACAAATATTCTTGTAGTTACTCGAGAAGAGGCAACATTGGATATTAATATTTCGGATTGCATCTTCAGTCATTATGCAAGATGCACGACGAAATTATTCTGTTAGTTTTCTTCACACATTCCTCGCGCAGGTTTACCTGGTTTCGCCGACGAGGCTTTAAACGTGGGGGCGAACATAACGTTTTCTGAAAGCATGAAACAACATTTTGTCAAACAAAATGTCTCGGGTTCTCGCCATTTCGTATTACTTTTAACAACGAATCTTTCTTTTTTTTTTTTTTTTTTTTTTTTTTTTTAA